TTTTGGGAGGAAATATTGAATGTGTGCAAATAAACGTGCAAAATAAAGCCTGCAGCATCGATTACATTTCCTCAGCAACTGCAGGCACATTAGAATACTCCATATTTCCCATAAATGCAACCTCAGAGTCAAATCAAAGACGTAACATGCACTATAAAGCATTAAATGAAAAAGGACAGAAAACACAACATTTAATTGTGATTACAGCTCGAGTGAGGCGCGGTAAGCACATTCCATCAGCCGGCCTGACTGTCCCACGAGCTGAACATCCCACGTCTGTTTAGGCTCTGGATAATGTTACAGCAGAGATGTTTCTCCCACAGGACCCTCAGAAAACTGTACGGCTCAGACCCGCCCAGCGTCTTTATTTCAGCTCATGTTACGAAAGAATGAGCTAAAAAAAAAGGTTTGTGCCTCACTTGTGGCTTAAATCATGGTTTCCTGTGAAGATTTCATAAACTGTAACGTGTCGGCTTGATCTTCTAGTCAGGATCCTTTTTAAACACATTACGATTGAAAACTGGTGGGAAACGCCAAAGATTTGTTCTATAGTATCCCAGACATGGTTATCAGGAAACTTTTATTATTAATAGTGAACAAAGAGCTTCTCACACAAACTGTGAGGGAGGAGTTTAAAAAGATGAATCATTTCCTTTCTCCAAAAAGAGTTTTTGTGACACTTCTGGGCTCCTCTCATGTGACGAACAAATAATTTCCTTAAAACCCAAAGATTAAGCTCTAAACATTCTTCAGATTATTGAGTAAATAGCAGGGTTAGTATTTTTCCCCTCAGTAACTGCAGCCATGCTCAAACCCGACCTCTCAGATTGAAAACATACCTCGGCCGTATTTGCGTTCTAGCTTTAATTAGGCGTTACTCATTATGGTTTGGGGTTGTACCAAAGTCTGTCTATATTGGCTAAAGGAGAAGTGGAAACTTGATTAGTTATTGGAAAAACCTCACAAGATAAAAAAAAAAGTAGTAAGATCGATGATCTATTGGACTGAAAGGAATGTTCGAGGCTGCTCTGGAAACGAGGTCCACACGACCGGTGGTAGACTTGAATAAATGTCTGCTTGTTCTGTTTGACCCTCTGCTGTTCTCAGCAAACGGTGCTTGTGGTATTTTAATGGGTCGAGCCAGAGTCACCAGTGTCATCCTGAACAGATGGAGGATGTCAAACTGAAAAATGCCTCTGCCTTTGAGGAAGTGAGCTCTCGGTTATAAAAGTCCAGGTCACAGACAACAGTAAAAATATCTCTGCTAGGCTGAGAGTGCAGAATGATCAATGCGTGTCCACAGAGACATCCAAACACCAGAGAACTGTGGCTGTGACCAGAATTTTATTTTTCCATCTATATACTGTAACATTGCTGCATTCTCTCCTCTCGTGCTCCCATGCTGGACTGTGGCAGAATAAAAACTGCACAGAGATAAATGTTGGAAAGATCATTTGGATTTACTTCGTGCAGAATTTGCATTAAACCACTTCCTTGTTTTGGACATAATGCTGCCTTTAGAAGCTCTGACTTCTGAGTTGAATGCCGTGAATACGTGGAAGCAGATCAATGAACGCTGCCGGTAAATGTGAAGTTTAATTTCCACATTTTTGTAGAATTTGTCCAATAAATCACAAAAGTCTACACTTTCAGATCGTTAGCAGTCATTTCAAAATCGAGCACTTCTCTGCTGAAGTCTGAGGACAGTGAACCGTCTTCCCTTTTGTAGCTTTGACCTTTCTTTCCTGTGAGTCACTTCACATCTTACCCTGCAGCACAATATTGTTTTTGTGCAAAACTTTCAAAAATATTTTTCAACCAAGATGAACTACAACCAATTAACAGTTTTAATTGGGTAGTCAGACATAATATACATTTTATATATTAAATATTTAAAATATATTAAATATATTTTTATACTGTAGTCAGTAATTTTTTTTTTTTTGGGGGGGGCGGGGGGGGGGGGGGATTTCATACCCGAAATTAAAACCTTAGCAGCTCACATGGTGCAATTTCAGTCAGCATATAAAAGGGTCAAAAAGTAACAGGAAATAAACTGTTCAGTCAGTACTCAAGTCCTTGAAACTATAAATAAACTAAAATTTCACTTACTGATCTGCATCATTTGGAAATTTGATCTTGCACTAATTTAACAAGACAGTGACTTATTTGATTTGCAGGAGATGAACACAAAAATGGGATAGCTTCACTTTGAATAAAATAAATTTGATTTCAATTTTAAATTGCAGGTAATTTTACGGTCCGTTTTTCATGTTCTGAGACTCCAAGGCCTTAAGATTGGTACATTGAGAACCCGACATTAAAGAACATCTTACCTGTTGTAGAAAGCTGTTAAATAGCTTTAGTGCGGATAAATTGTTTAATTAATCTTAAAAATGACTTGAGTGTCAAACATGTCATTCCAGTGCTTTTAGTTTTACATGACCCTCATAAAAAAAAATAAAAAAAACCTTGTATAAACGTGCAACAAAAAACACGTTTTACAAAAACGGATAACAGCAGCTAGCTGTAGCACTTTCTGTGCAGCTTTAGGGCATTATGTTAATATTTCTTCAGGAATAACTAATCTAAGACAGGCAGATGTAAATGTTGGGGTACATTCACACTAGCCCCGTTTAGTCCGCTTTCATCGAACTCTAGCTCGTTTTCCTAGAATGTCCGGTTCGTTTGGGGAGGTGTGAACGCACCATCGAACTCGAACAAAAAGGCGAACTCTGGCCCGTGCTAAAACCTAGGTCTCGGTCCGGTATAAGCCAACTCCAGCGCGGTTCGAGTACAGTGTGAATGTAAACGACCGGGCCCTGCTCCGCAGGACAAACACGCATTTCTCTGACCTTATATGGAGCCATCAGCTGACTTGTGTGGAAAAACAATATTCTCCATGGTCTTCTGCCACATCTTCTGCTCATGCTAAGTCCATTTTTGAAAAATGACAAAATATAACTTTATGCCACTTCGTTTTTATTTTTATTTACAGAAGAAGACGTGTCTTGAGGTTTTTGTGTCGTTTCTTTCAGTAGTTCTTGGTGCAGCGCCCCCACAGGCGAGCAGGGGAATAGGTTAGTTCAACAGGTTGACTCGACTGCACAGTGCAGGGTGAATGCAAACGCACCAGCTCAAATGTAAACTAAAGGTCATGAATATTGGTCCCGAACCGAACCGGGTCTACCGGACTATCTAGTGTGAAAACAACCTAAGACAGGCAGATGTAAATGTTAAAGACTAGACTGCAGCTGTATAAAGGCGGCACTTTGGTCTTGACCCTGAACAGACCCTGAACAGACGAGCCATCAGCTCACCATAAACTTCTCTTAAAATGAACAACAAAGTCCATCAATAATCCAGGTATACAATCCAACATTTTTCAGTCAGGTCATCTGGACAATTTTTTTTTTTTGTGCTGAAACGTTTCGCCTTCGGTCCGGAAGGCTTCACCAGTCAAGGAAACACACAACATAATTGATTCTTCCCCCAACAGCTCACTCCAAAGTGGAACAAACCAGTTCTGCTTGTGCTAAGATGGTCTCTTTGGGACGCCCCCTCCTACATTGCTGGCCCTCTTCCTTGTTTACAGCCTTTATCACAAGCGGAACTGGCTTGTTCCACTTTGGAGTAAGCTGTTGGGGGAAGAATCGGTTTTGTTGTGAGTTTGTCTGATGAACGCTTCCGGACCAAAGGCGAAACATTTCAGCACAAAAAAAATAAAAGAAGAAACTGTCCAGATGACCTGACTGAAAAATGTTGGATTCTCTTAAAATGGTTTTATGGATTAGCTAATTTATGATTTTCCCAATTTGTAAAATAAAAATCTACCCTATAGAATTTAGTTAAAATGAAAGATTTTTGAAGCTGCATGTTCAGACTTCTGCTCTGAAAACGAGGATTTGCAGGTAAAACGTTTTAGAAAACTTTGTTTTACAAGAAAACTTTTTTTCCCCACACTTATCAGTTCAGATAGTTTTCCTGACAAACTGCAGCGTTATGCCTCAACCAGTTCAAGCAGACGCTCCTCACATGTAACAACAAAAGAAACGAGCAGAAACCAGTCCCGTTATAGTTCTAAGAAATGATGCATTACACAACCTCAGGGTTGTTGCATTACACAACAAACTGGAGCACGACAAAGATGTGCAACTTCTTGGCTCGACTTGAGCAGGCAGTTCAGTTGACATTTCAGTAATTGCACACTTCCTTCTTTTGATCTGGACTCTTCAGCTCGTTTTCACTCAGTTTGACTGTTAAGAGTCCACAGCACTCGGGTAAACTCTTTAGCACACGCTGCAGAAAATAGTTCATGACAATATAAATGCATGTTTATTTTACAATGCAAAGATTGAAAGATTAGCCATTAGTCAAACAGTGACCCCTTTTTGTTTTTGGCATTTTATAAATGTCATTTCCTGCAGCAGTGTGTTTCACAATGAGGCCAAGGCTGCCACCATGTGGTGCACAAATGAATAAACGACCATTCTCAGTTTAGTGCACTTTATTTACAAAAAAAGAATAAAATAAACACATTTCAATTAAAGTGAGGAAAAGAATGCATTCTATACATAATTGACTCATCCTAATCTGCACTTTGTGACTTTCCAAGTGAACAGAAAGTGCTGCAGTGCACGTTTAAATGTCTCTGGATTACATTGAGCATCTCTTAATCTGATACATTTAATGCACGGCCGAGTAAAGACTGAAGAGAGCACACAGATGTGATAAATAGCAACTTCAAAAACAAAATTATAGCAATACAGTTAACTTCTGATTTCATATATTATATCTATATAACCTAAATTAAAGGCAAAGAAGCTAAATACAATCTACCTGATAAAAATCAACCGTTAAGATCTACTTTGCTTGTTATCAAATAGTTTTAATTCTGCATCTTAGTTTATTAGAACCAACAAAAAAGTAAAAATCATGGTTTGGCTTTATGAGTATCGTTTTCCACAGTTTTCTTCAGCAGTGGCCGCGAGTCGTTCCGTTTACTCTTCAATGTTGAGCACGTCGTGTTGGTCACATGGTACCAGTGGCTGTAATGAGAAAGCATAATTAGTACTAGTAGCACCAGGAGTAGTAACTGTCTAAATATAGCAGTATAACAGCATTTTAAAAATGTTTTATACAACACCAGTGGCAAAAAAATGAATACAAATACAAATTAAAAAACAAAACGGATCTGCACCATCACAGTAAGTAAACAAGTGGTCCACTCGTGTCCCCCGGTCACTGATGGAAGGTTTTCAGTTTGAGGGGAGCGTTTAAGATTTTTTTTTTAACCAAATGAACAGAGAATGCAAATCTTAATGTTTGTGGTGAAGGGGGGAGGTGTTCCACTGTACACGAACAGAGGTAGCTTTGATTTTTGCTCGTCTGAGGCGGCACACAGCGACGATCCTGCTGAGGGGGTAATTTTATCCATGACCAGGTGCAAGGGCGGAGCCAGGGGGTGGCCAATGGTGGTTTAGGCCACCATAAATTTAAGGAGTTAGTGGTGTTGCAGAGTTTAGAGAAAGTGAGCCTGTGATCTGAAGTTTACTGGTTCAACTCAAGGTTCTGTATTGTCGTTTGCATCACGTGGTGCATGAGGTGGAACAAAATTGTGTACACAGGGTCCCAGCTACATATAACTATAGCAAAAATATAAATTGTAAAACAGTACTAAGGATCTAACAAAGAAATACACTAAACTACACTAAACTCCCTGGACAGATTAAAATGTGCTCCACACTGAGCCCTTGAGCAAGGCCCTTAACTCACCAGCTACTCCCCAGACACCTTAGATGGCATCTCTCTGCTCACATGTGTGTTGGGAAAAATCTAGATGATTTATTTCTCCACTGGGGAAATCCAACCCAGTTTTTGAAAGAGATTTTTGTCTAAATGTATAAACGACAAAATCAAAATTGGCATCTCGCTCATCTTTCAAGGCATCACGCCATTCAAGGTGGACAGACGGGATTTCCAATCTCCACTTTTCGCTTTGCAACAGGGGACAATAAAGGCATGTAGCACAGAAATGGTGAGGTACATGATTTTCAGCCAGGATCAGATTCTTACAAACACTAATACTTACACTTGAGCTGGAAATAGCAGCCGTCACAATAGGGCTTCCTTTTTCTGACTCGGACCTGGACTCCAGTCTCCGTTCCTCTGAGGTGTCTGCTGCAGCCCACACACTGAGGGGAAGATTGAAAAGTGAGAAAGTGATTGTAGTAAAAAAAAAAAAAGTCTGACCTTTAATAAAGGCTTTTAGTGTCAAAAATCACTCCACTGGATCGTCCGCCACCCAAACACAGAATTCAAAAGAAGCTCCATTTCCCACATGAAAGCATTTTACAATAATTAGTGCATGCATGTTCGCCTGTGTGGAACTCATCTGGAACAAAGAGGTGATTTTCTTGGCTACATGTTAATGAACCCATGGCAGATTTATCCCCGTCACTGAGGCTTTTGCAATTAGCATCTAAAAGCAAAGCATGACAGAGGGCCACATTCCCTTACTGAGCCAATACGGTGCACAAGAGTAGAAATTCAAACACAAACGCATCTGTAAGAATCACCTGTGCAGAAAACCAGACTGAAGCTTGGCCCAGTACACAACCCGAGTGCCAATTTTTAACAAGCATTCATAAGAAAGTTTCAAGTGTCTAAAATGTTCACAGGTGTTCTCAGTCTCCTCATGCAAGGTGCAAGGCCAGCATCTGTTGTGGAATTGGAGCATGTTCCAAACAAACTGCAAGACAGACTGTTCTATGAAGTTTGCAGCAGCTTCCAGACGTCTGCAGTAACTCTGCAAACACTTTCCATTTACCCTAATTTTTGGACTATTGAGCACACCTGCATATAAGCTGCACCCACTATGTTTACAAAGAAATATAATAATTGTACATATATAGGCTGCACTCGTCTATAAGCTGCGGGTGTCCACATTGTTTGTAATCCTTATGTGTAAATATCTCGTTAGTTTTTTTTAACTAAATACATACTGGTAACATACAGTACTTTTTTCCCCCCCTGCCTGTACACTGCACCTTTGAGCTTGTGCAGCTCTTAATCACGCAATTGCCTTTAGAAACCCGTTTTTTTTTTTTTTTTTTTTTTTTTTTTTAACACTGCTCCACTGCCAGGATCCACAGGCAGACTGGAGCAAAACTTGCTCTTTGCATGTGGCCAATTTTGGAAGATTTCTAACCGCTAGTCATCCAAGTCTCCCACCGAGCTTGGAGTGCCACACTAATGCACGATTCACACTTATTTCGAGTGGCTGCAAATGCTTAGTTGTGTCCCAAGGGGGCACAACGGGGAGGAGAGTATGATGTGGACCAATGGTCATTGGACCAATGAAACCATGGTCCACTTTGATCGGTTAGGTAGTCTTCTTGAGTCAGGAGGACTGGTGGGTCCTTGTGAGATGTGTAGTGGTCTGCTATGAGAGTGCTCGGGTGTGACGAGGCTAAATGTTTTGGCAGCATGAAGCACGTTAGCTCGTAAAAAAAAGAAAACCCACAAGTAAGTCGCAGCTTTGTATATGTTGCGGTGTTCGACAAGTGTGAAAAAAGCAGCAGCTTATAATCTGGAAATTACAGTAATTTCTGTAATTTGTGAGCCATTGAACAGTTAGTGAATTGGCCAAGAATACAGTTCTACAAGCTGTGGACACAAGTCATTTATAAAAAAAAAAAAAAAAAAAGTAATTCAATACTCAAAATTAATTGAGATTGCACCGAAAATCAAACCATTTTCTCTAAATCTTGAAACAATTAGTCAAACAGTTGTAGCCAGGTGACAGACTGGCTTTAGACAGGTCCCAAAGCACCATGAAGCAAATACAAAAGCATGACTCACTCAGGACAAATGCAAGCCTCCTACACTGAAGAAATGTATAAATGAAACACTTACTTGCCGCCATTTTTCATGATCTGAAGTCAAAGATCTACCGGTAACACTTTATGTACACAGTTGGCCTTTTGGTTTCAAATATTGTTCAAATTTGTGTAAATCGGTTAGTGAGCACCTTTTTGCCGAGATGATCCACCCACCTCACAGGTGTGGCATAAAAATATGCTGATTAGACAGGAGTATTGAACAGGTCTGCTTTAGGCTGACCACAATAAAAGGCCACTCTGTAAAATGCAGTTTTATCACAGCAAAGCCACAGATGTCACATGTTTTGAGGGAGTGTGCAGTTGGTATGCAGACTGCAGGAATGTCCAGGTTCAGAGCATTTGGCAGAACATCCAACTGGACTCAATCACAGACCACGTGTAGCCACACCAGCCCCTCTGTTGTTCATAACACCTGCCCATATTATAACACCACTGCCACCGTGGGCCTCTCGATTCATGTGGACATGAGCAAACTGCTCACCCACACAACCATGCACACAGTCTGCCGTCTGCCATGTACAGTGAAAACCAGAATTCATCCGGGGAAGAAAACACCTCAATGTGCCATGCTCCATCAAATGTGAGCATTTGCTCACTCAAGTCAGTTATGATGGTGAACTGCAGTCAGGTGGAGACTGTGCAGATGAACAAGCAGATGGACTTCCGAGACAGTTTGAGGATTTGTGCAGAAATATAGTTATGCAGCAGCTGGCTGGTCTCAGACAGTCTTGGAGGTGAAGATGCTGGATGTGGAGGTCCTGGACTGGTGTGGTTACACATGCTCTGTGGTTGTGAGTCCAGTTGGATGTTATGACAAATTCTCTGAAACGCCCTTTGAGACGGCTTATGGTAAAGAAATGAACGGTCAATTCATGTGCAACAGCTCTGGTGGACATTCCTGCAGTCAGCGTAACTGCACACTCCCTCAAAACCTGCAACATCTGTGGTTGTGTAGTGAGAAAACTGGACATTTTAAACTAGTGGCCTTTTATTGTGGTCAGCCTAATGCACACATGTGCAATAATCATTCTGTCTATCAGCACCTTGTTGATATGCCACACCTGTGAGGTGGATGTTTTATCTTAGCAAAGAAGCACTCAACAGATTTACACACATTCGTTAATATATTTGGGGGTGGGGTGGGGGGGAGTGTGCATAGAAAAAGTTTGATCTTTGAGTTCAGCTCATGGAATCAAAAGTAAAATGTTGCATTTACATTTTTGTTGATGACATTCCCCAAATTAAGCACCTTCAGCTGATGGAGCCAGAAATGCAACCACATTGACCCATACCTGAACCTGATCAGAACCTCTCACCTGGAAACAGGTCAGGTGGAAGTAGAGACTAAGGGTCTCTATGACCATGGCTGCCCCACTACCCAGGACTCGCTCACACACACAGCAAGTCCTCGAGCCACTGACCATCCTGGGGCAGCACATGTTCGTACTGTGAGTCCAGAATGTTTCAAATCAAGCACAAAACAGAGAACTTCATACACATGAATCGTGTACCTGGCGTAGTGAGACGAGTCCACGTTTCTTTTAGAAGACATGGATCCAGTGCTGTAGCGGGACGCAGCGTTCCTGCTTGGGATTACATAACTTCCGGCAGCCGAATGAGGGCGAGGGTAAGAAAGTATTGCAGCCAGGTTTGGATACAACGAATCCAGGTTATTCAAAGAATCATATCTGCAAACCAAGAACAGATGTATGCAATACGCCAAACTTAAACCCCAGTTTGGATGTGGTACAGATACTGAGCCCACCTCTTCATGGGAGCACCAGCATCGATGGGCTCCTTCTGGGGACAGTTGCCGTGTTGACGTATCCAGCTGTTGTCGGTCAGAAGCTGAGTCCGTTTCTTCATCTCCTCCAAAATCTGCTGCCGCTCTCGCTCAGCCTTGGACAAGGGCCATCCAAATCTTTTCCTCTCATCACCTGAAAAGTGTAGATTTGACTCAGCACATCTTCAGAAGAGAAGACAAATGATATGACAGGAAGGTAACTTAACCTTTGATTTGCTTGCAGGGTCCAGATAATGCTGGCGTAGATGAGGACAGTGCCCTGTTAGAGACACAGACCTCACATTATTATTTCTGTGAAGCCAAACCAGAGTAAAGAAGAAAACATAGCATCTGCATTTAAAAAAAAAATAAAAATTATGCTAGTTATTTTAAACTTAAGTGATAACCCCATTAAAATTGTTAAACCAAAGCACAGAAAGAAATGGAAACAAAGCTAAGCTTTATCTGACCTGTGTGCAGGGGACAACCGAGTGAGACCAGAGGAGCCCTCAGCCCTGAAGTTCAGTGTTAGCAGCAAGAAGGCCCGGTCCAAAGCAGAAGCAGCCACATGAGCATTGATACCGTGCACAGTCTAGATTACATGCATTCTCAGGACATGAAGCCTTTCTTACCAATCTTTCTCAGTAATCTGGTCGTCCTGTGTTCCGTTACCAACACTCTGATGTTTTAATCCAACTTGGTTCAGATCCTCTCCGTTGGGTCTTTGCTCGTCATCTTGAGTTTTCTTCATCAGTCCGTTCGCATCAAACAGAGAAGTGGCAAAACTCTCAGAACCACCGGTCACCTCGAATGCATTCTCCTTTGAAGACATGAAAAATGTGGTTACAAAGAATATGAACCATCTTCACTCTGAATTTTATAAAAAAACAAATCAAATTTTAGAACAGAAGAAATGCATTTATTAACTCTATTCAAGTGAAATCAAGCAAAACCTTAATTTTTATTCAAAAAACATCCTTTTACATGCGAGTGGTAAAAGCTTTAGTCTCTAGAATTAGCAGGTCAATTAAAAATTAACTTGAAACTAGTGTTGACGGTTAATTTAATGGCAGACCTGAGTGGACAGCTTGTTTTTAGCCAAATGAATTAATGGATTGTTCAAAGTTTTAACTTCATATCTGTAAAAGTAGACTTATGTATGGAAATTCAAAAAGCTCTGGATGCCAACATTAAAATAATTTCAACACCACTTCCTGTGTGTCTGTGCAATAAAGGGAATTGGTTAGCCATGATGGCTTCACGAGGAATGATCAATTCAGTAGTGAACTATGGTGGTGGGAGTATGATGGTTGGGTCTTTGTGCTTCACTGAGGCACAAGAAGCTGAGAATAAAAAAGCTAAAATAAGCATCGTCAGCAAATTCTAAAGACAGTTTTTGCAGCTTTGATTTCACCAAAAACTGGACCACAGAGAAATATTACATCAACACCTTCAGCGCTTCTCCAAATAACAGAACAGAGTCCGTGCCGACCCGTCAGAACAAATTATTCTATTCAAAAAAGGACAGGAGGTAAGCCGTTTACGTTGAAGGAATACTCCGGCATTCAGGAGTTTAACTTGTGCTAAATGTTGGAAAAAAATAAAAAAATTCCTCCAAGTGGACGAGTTGAATGAGAGAAATAAAAAAAAAAAACTTTTGAAATTACACTGAAAATACCAATATCTAACAAAAGCATTGAAGTTGAAGCTTAACAGCCATCTTTTATAAAAAAAAAATAAAAAAATAAAAAAAAAGATTGAAACAAAAAAACATGCTCAGTAAATACTTGTAACTTTACTGATTTAAAGACTTTAAAAGCTTCACAATTTATTTTTCATTACAAATCAAATGCTTTTTGTAAAAAAATAATAATAATAAAATAAAAATCCAATTACTGATTCAGAAATTACACACGATACCGTTCAGGAATTAAACACAGCCATTGTTCAGATTTATAATTAATTTAATTCTAAAGATTTATTAAACTACGCCGTTGATTTGTGACAATTTAAGGGTTTATTTATGCAAAACATTAAAATTCTTTATTCAGTTCAGTTTATTTATAGCACCAAGTCACAACAGAATCATCTCAGGGCCCTGAACAGAAACATGTGCATATAAAATAATCATTTAACACCATTTATACGAGCAGACTGCTGTGACTTTAACTCCATCGCAGAACATGTTCCAGTAAATTATATTCAAGGAGTCAAATATTTCATCTTGAATATGTTTGTGCAGATGTTTGAGTCAGAACATATAAAGACAAGATCCAAGTTCTGCAAGTAAAAAGCAACCGTCTATAGAAAGGCAGCTTTTCGTTACCTGCAGCGTCCTGCCTTCCACTGCATCCTGCTGCGCCCGTCTCCACTCCTCCTCCAGCCTCTCCTGATCCCTCTGGTACTGCTCCTAAACGAAAAACAAGTTCTGTTCACCAACATGTGGCTCACTGTGGCAGCCAGTGTTGGTGTGGAGGTGCAGACCTGCAGGAGGCGCTCCTGCTCTTCCTGCCACTTCTCCTGACGCTTGCGATCCTCGTCGAGGTCCCATGAAAAGCTGCAGGTGGAGGGGCTCAGGGAGGGCACCTGGAGCTGACACACACAAGTTCACACACTCACACAGAGAAGTTAAATATGAGCAGAGATCCACACACTGATCCAGTAATGTGACAACTTACATCCGATATGGCAGATTCTGAGCCTCCTGCAAGGAAAGATCAGTCAGTAAAATGAAATTTTGAATATTTTTTTTTTAAATAAAGATGGTAAAAGCTGAGTGACATCATTTACTGCTGATCAAACATCCCTCACACAAAGATCAGGGAGACACAGCAACAAGACAAACTGTGGAAAAAGCAGAACACTGCATGAACACGGATCACGCTTGAGTTTTGTCTTGCATCTTCCATTGTTGCCCAAACTCAAAACTGGTTGAGCAGCAGAGTTTTATAGACCGTAGTTATCGCCCGCCACAAACTCTGACGTGACCGTGTCTGCGTTTGCTTCTCTGTACCATAACTCACTGCATGAATTTCATTCAACCTTTATTTAGACAGGTAAATCCCATTTGACTGAAACTTCCAGAAAGTATCAAGTTGGAATCAGTTGTGCACGTCTAAGTTATTATTAAATATGGAGAAAAAAAACAACTACATGATATTTAGTAATAGAAATAAAATGATCGAAGTCCCATTTAAAATAGACAGTATTGAAATTCATAGTTAAATAAAAGTTTGGGTTGTCATTATTGATGAGAAGCTGACATGGAAAGCTCATGGAAATTACTTAAAAATAGCAAAAATCAATTGCATTAGTGAATAAAGTAAAATAGTTTTTGAATGACAAAGAAAAGCGTGCAAAGCAATTACAAATCCTATTTTTAGTTTACAAAAAAGAGCTATAAGAATTAGTAGGAAGTGCTGTGGTACACCAACAAATTTCATCAGTTGACATTAAAATTTCATGATTAGGTTGAATATAGTTTTTTGCAAGTCATGTATAAAGCTAAAAAATTATCCCCAAATATTAATTTAATATTTGTTTAAAAAAATAAATATAAAAGTCCTTGCCTTGATATCACCATAAAAAAACTTCTAAAAACAATTTATACGTTTAAAAAAAAAAAAAAGATTATATTAAAATTGTTAGGAAAGTATGGTGCCATGTCAAGGATGCCTGATGTTTGTTTTCACTTTGGGGATTGATCAAGCCTGAGTTGTTTGATTTTATATTAAAAAAAAATTAAATAAGGGGCAGATCTTATAAGAATTTTCTTCTCTCTGCACCCTTTTCATTCTTTTATGAATTTGTTTTGTTTATTTTATTTCTTATGTTGTAAATGGACAAATTAAAAACAGGTAAGAAACATAGCAGGTGATATTCACTCCATGTGATTTAGGATTATAATCCTAACAGCCAGGCTTAATGTGAATCAGCTCACTGGTTCATGCATCATCCAGCTCAGAGATGCCACAAGGAAAATGCAGAAAAAAGAAAAAGCAAACTGTTCACTAAAGAGCAACAACAAATTAAAAGTATCCATGCAGCATTTTGACAAACACCAATCTTGTTTGTTCACTTGCTGATACTCAACAAACAGTGCTCTGCAAACTAATAGCCAGCAAGCTGCTGCAAGCAAACAGAAGACACACCGAGCAAACATTTACCACACAAATAAACCCATGAGCTGATTCCTGCAGAGCCTGGAGAGAGAAGCCGTTGCGGGACAGACGTTAGACCCAGAAACTCTCACAGACCACAAAAATCCATCAAATAACCCCCGTTTACCATGAACATTAGCACACCACAGTGAACATAGGAAGTGACCGTAAACAAGGCAACTATTGCACACATCAGGGGGTGCCTATTAATGGTAATCAGTGCTGTCAGCTCTGTAATTGTTTGGGAAGCTGGCTCAAAGTGCTGCACAAAAGGCAAAAGCTGCTTTTTGCTTGAATTTGCATGAAATACCAGCATGTTGGATCTTCTGCTTGTTTTTTTAAATGCTTTATTTAACACATTTTTTAAAGCAGCGCACCTGTAGGCCTATCACAGCAACCATCACTTTTCAAAAGACAAAAGCTAAAGTCGGTATCTCACTGAGCAGTGAATGGTTTGTGAACAATATTCATGAAGGAGTCACTCGAGGTTTGAACTAGAGCTGTAATTTCTAACCCGGGCCCACACCAGTCACGAAATTCGCGCCGGGTTTTGAGTCAAACTAATGTGCTGGATGGACGGGCCGGTCTTGGGCTTTTAATACGGTTTTACGAATCATACAGCACAAAGAAATTTAAACAAGAATGCGCAATATAAAACTGTTAATGTACTTGTAGAGGAGGAGGCAGGTCCAACTGGCCAGTTGAAAAAGGAGGTTAAAAAAAAAAGGCCAGTTAAGCTCAGATGGATGAGCTGGTCACCGGCCGCGTGCGTCTCTGCACCTGATCTGCCATGAAGTAGCAGCATCTACAAAATCTGAAGCGAGCAGCACATTCAAGTAAAATAGCCTTGTTCTATATTTTTCCCAAATAATGCATGAAATACCATTCTGTAAAATCTGTAGAGTTTATTTTTTAGGCTATTCATTTTGTATGTTAATATCCATTTGGTGAAACAAACCTCATATCTTCCTTTCTTTGAAATATGTTTTTAAAAACTATCATGTCAAACTGATTCGCTTACAAAAGTAGTAAAAGCTTAATAATAATAAAAATAATTAAAAAAAAGTTATTTTTCTGCGTTCGGGCCGATAATTACAGTTAATTCATCGGGTCTTGGTTGGGTTTGGTGGGGGAGGAACTACAAGTTCGGGGCAGGCCGGATTTTTTTAGGCCCGAATGCAGCTCTAGTTTGAACTAGTGCTGGGCGATGTATCGAATATACTTTATGTATTGCAAGTTTTTCAATTTACGATGGTTAAATTGGCTCTATCGCAACCGTCGAGTATCATTAGACTGCACGCAGCCCATCCTTCTCCCTCACTGAATACAAACAGTCCCACACGTGCTGCTTCACACACGCTTACCCACGTCATGAATGCGACAGCTGAAGAGGTTTATTATTAATATATGTAAATAGTTCATTTTTTAGACGTTTTGTACAGTTACAATTGTTTAATAAATGTGCCTGTGTGACAATTAAGACAAAGCTTCGACTCTGAAAAAGATTTTTTTTAATACTTTTGGACAGAAAAAAAAAAAGATATATCGTGTATCGAGATTTATCTAAAAAGTATTGAGATGTTAATTTTGGTCTATATCGCCCAGCCCTAGTTTGAACATGTTAAAATCTCCGAAACAACTTGACCACTTAAGAAAACGTCAAAGGCCTCTAGAAACCGTTTCAAACCTTTTAAAATGTTGTCGACTTCTCCAGCCCATCCCAAAGCATTAAAGCCGATTTGGATTCAGCTCCAGTTTAAAAACAGAAAACAGCTGAGACAAATGTCCAAGCCTAAAAGCCACGCTGAAATATTTAGAGAAAAAAAAAAACATCCAAATTTAAATTAATTTCTACAGTGTATTCCAGCAGATTTAATCAGAAACGTGAAAGCCAGAAAATAGTTGTGCAAGTCTTGCACAAAAATAGGTTGCAGTTTTCAAAACTGCTCATGCAGAGGTGCTGGAAAGTTTGTGAACCATCAAATAAATGACCAAGTATAATATTTTTGTCTCATCTGTTTAACTGGGTTTTCTTTTTCTACTTTTAGGACTTGTGTGAAAATCTGATGATGTTTTAAGTCATATTTATGCAGAAATATAGAAAATTATAAAAAGGGTTCACAAACGTTCAAGCACCACTAAAGATGGTTGTAAACATTTCAGTGAGGCTGTAAAGGGGGAGAAACAAAAAATAAATAAATTCTGAAATTTCCCCTGAACTAGTTCACAAACAGTCACAGCTCAGTGAAATACCACCTCAACCAGGCCAAGCTCCTGCCACTAAAGCAAACATACAAGAAGCCACTGGTGGTTCTGGTTTTACCTTTCTCATTAAAAAATTCTTCTCTCTTTTTCTGATTTTGCCTGGTAGCATTAGATTCTACATTAAAAAAAATAAATAAAAAAAAAGATAAAACACAATATAAAATCATTAAGTACATGAGTAACTCTTTAATGGCAGTTTTTAAATCATTATACCTTTATTCCTGACTGACCCAGAGCTCTCAGAGAAAACCCCGTCCAGGACTTTATCTTGAGTTACCTGCATACGTAAAATATTTAATAATCTTTGAGCCATCATTTGGTATTGATTTGGATTTAAAAAACATAAAAAAAAAACTCACATCGGCTGTCTGCCAGTTAGACTTTTCCAGTTGTGTGGTTGTGGAAGCCGCGGTGTTGGCGTGAAGATCAGGGTAACCAATTAGAACGGGCGCAGCAGACGTCAAGTTAAGAGTCATCCTGCTCTGAGCAGGCTGGTGTGGATGAGACTCTGTGCTGCTGCTCCAATCTGAGTCACACAAGTAAAACTAAGACTAGTCCACACGGATATGATGTTCGAGAAAACAAATTTTTACCCTTGATCCCATAGCGTCGAATGTCCATGGTCAGGCTTCCAGTTTGCAGGGAAGAGGCCATCTTATTCCTCCACTGGTTGTAGGTCAGGTGTGCCACGGCAACGCCGTCGACTGCCACGATCTCATCGTCCACACACAGCTGGCAACACTCTGCTGGACTAGCTGTGGAACAAACGGGCATCAGGAAATGTGAGAGAAGGGGGGTGTGTGTGTGTGTGTGAGGGGGGGTTGTTACTGGTCTAAACTGAGAAGCAGGCCAGTGAGGCAAACTACAAAGCTTCAAGTAAGTGACACCCCTGAAGCTTCTAAATTATTTATGGGTGAGTTTTAGGTCAGTGGCAACATTTATTAGGTTTCTGATCCACAAAATGCCTGAAAACTGCTCAAGAGTCATTTGTACACGATACACTTCTAACCAGCTGAGCTCGTTTTCAAATTGAGCCTCTTAAAAAAATATACAAATGTAGTTAGTCCTTTTCAGAAGCAAGGCAGTTTAGTCTTAAACTGGTCCGCAAACATTCCCTGTGCCTCTCCACTCCGCTTTTACCCATCACATGTTCCTGCTGTTCTAAAGAAACAGTTAAATCACCAATTTTTTATTCTGATCATTTTCAAGACCATTTCACCAATATTGTTCTGGAGATTTATAAAATTATATTCTTACCAGGTTGGATGCATATTACCCTCAACCCTGAGGAGTCCCAGTGAGTTTGGAAACCGAAGTCTGGAACACTGTTGGGTTTAAGAGTCAGGCTCACCCTCATGTCACTATGATCAACCTGAAACACACACACACCACCATGTGATCTGATGTCCTCTACTTCCTGGTAGAAATTAGAAACCCACTACATACGTGTAGTAACCAATACGTTGAATGATCTCAGTTTTTTCCTTTGTCAATGTTGCACATTCAGCAACACGTCTGTAGATTTAGGTTACGACAAATCAACATCCTCTCAACACTTCATTTACTCAAAGAGTGAAGAGAATTTCCTTACAATGATTTTTTTGCGTCATCTTATTGAACGTTTAATTCATTCAACATTTTATACAGGTTAGCCTCAATGAGCCTCAAGGACTCATTTACAAGAGATATCGGTTTTTAAACAAATAATAATAATAGTCATTATAAAAAACATATAAATTTCAACATGGGGCTTAAAAGAGATGCGAATTGACCAAAATGCCCAAGTATTTGTAAGAATTGACAAACTCTACAGGAACATGATTCGAAGAGAAAACAGAAGGACTGCTGGGACAGACTTCCTGTTTGAAAACAACATCCCTTTGGTTGTGTCAGCGTTTAGCACAAGTTTGAGACTGATCAAATCTGACTGGATGATGTCAACAGCAGATTGCAAAAGCCGGAAAACCTTAACTGTTTTAGCTTGACAGTAAACAACTGTCGTCAGCATAAAAATGTAAGGCTAGGTCAGGAATGATCTGACATTGATCTACATTACTTATGTAGACCGTGAAGAGGGTGGGTCCCAAGACTGAGCCTTGTGGTACACCATTGTTAACAGATAAGTGAAAGTAGTACTATTATGTTGAACACATTGCCTCCAATCTAAAAAGATACTGAACAACCAATTTCCGAGAACTTATGACATCTTATGTCATGGTCTACAGTGTCAAAAGCTTTAGACAGGTCTAAGTGTGTGCGTTATTTGGCGTGGGGGTGCACCTTATTTAGGGTAAGGCAAAAAAGGGAGCACTCGTAAAGTGGAATACGTGAAAATCTTAAATATTCATCTTTCTTGTAGTAATTTTACATGATTGAAATAAACTAAAAAATTATTTAATTGCACAGCCTGAATATAAATCATGTAATGTATTAAGAAAAACAGTAAAATAAAGTCAACAAGTTTATATTTGTTTTATTTGGGTGAAGGTGCATCAATGATGCTGTAAGGAGAGATGTGACTATAGAACCGAACAAGTTAAATGGTTACGAGGACTTCAGTTTGACTCGTTAAAGCAGCAGCACAGACTCTTAAGGACTTTTCTTCTTTCAGGTGTGCAGCAGAGGCAGTTTGTTCATTATAGCCGATCATTTGTCTGAATGTATGCAACTTTAAAAGCTTAAAAATAAAAGGCTGTAGTATAGGGTCTACAGTATAACTGACAAGTCGTTTGCAGCAAAGAACACAAAAACAATAAAATTGACATTTCCTTTTGCCCTTCAGGTTTTATGAACTCAAAATTGTTCAGAGCATAAAATGCAGCTCCGGCAAGAAATCCTCTAAATTTTAGTGAGGAGGGCGTCTTATTATTTTTATTAAATGAAAGCATTACTGCTTCAGACTGCTGCATTTGTGCAGTAAAAACTCCCCTGAAAGTTGTTGAGCTCTCAGACTACTTTAAGGCTAAAATCTAAATGTACCTGCAGCAGCAGATACATCCACCATCTTAATATCAGTGGATGCTTATCAAAAATGTGGCTGTTAATAAAAATATGCTTGAAGATAAAGAGCCAGTAGACCTAATTTTCCCCACTCAGGTGCCAATAAAGCACAACCGTTAAAATGGAGCACAGCAAGAGGTCATTGAAAAAGGGCCGCCATCGAGTCTCCAACTGTGGGAAATGATGAGGAAATCACATTTTGCTTCAGCCAGTTCGTTTAGATTTATGAATACAGAGCATGTAAAGAAAACTATTTGGATAAGAAACGTGGCTTAGAGAGCGACCCCTGCTGGCCAAAGTTAAGATGAACAAAAATGGCCTCACTGCTCAACAGATGTTAAGCATTTTGACATTGTGACCCCAGTTTTTAAGCACCGAGTCACTGTTTCAGTCAAATGTGCACATTCTGAAAACTTTGTGAGCAGGCTTGGAGCTGGATTACAGTCACATTAAACAGTTCGTTTATTACTGCAGAATAAAAGTGTGTATCTGGAAAATACTCAGAATCCCAGAGAAATGTGTGTATTTCATTGAATTGCAGTTACCCAGGAATGTAATCTGCTGTGACTTTTGCAAAAACACTGATTTTTATTGCAATTACTGCGCACTCATTATTATTTTATTATTTATTTATTTATTTTTTTTTTGATTTTTTTTTTACTGCGCACTCATTAAATGAAGCAAAAATCTTTTTTTCCCTAATAGTCCCCCCCGCCCCCATTTTCTTTTACTGCTCTTTTCAGATAGTCATTTCAAAAAGTGAAATTGGTGCATCTGCTAAAAAACACTTTGGTTTAGTAATTAAACTTGAATATTTCTCTCCGTGCGTGCAGGTGTCGTTTCTTTTGGGGGGGATGAGCAGAGATCGTAACAAAAATTAAAAATTTAATAATGCCCACAAGAGCAATTTGATCAACCAAAACCAATTTAAAACATTGCTCATTTTAAAAGTTTTACAGTGCAGAGATGACGCGTGGTGCATAAATATACCTTAGAGTAGTCAGTTCCTGCTTTACATGAGAGAGTCGAGCTTTTGTTGTGGAAGGACTGCAGGCTTGAACGAGGCTGAAGTAAAGTCTGGGTTTGGGGGGAGGACCTGTGGACTTCCCGTCTCCTCTCTGAGCTGTCCTGCCTGGCCTGGTTAGCCTTCTTCCGTCGGATCGATGCCTGGTACTGGTCCCTCAGATTGGCAGCTGCAGTCTGTCTTTTGATTGACGACTTTGAAGACTCAGGAAGAGAATAGTATTTCTCGCCGTTTGACAGCAAACCCGGACTGTCAACCTGGAGATGAACAGAAACGAGGAGAGCTCACGCAGAGAGACCGACATGTTTGATTTGCACAACCAGAACTAAAATGTGTCATTGCTGATGAAAAACAGCTGGTTCAAAAACATCAATAGTCAGAGTGAGAATAAGACAGTCGAGTGTAATCCTTGTGACTCCACTGTGGAGAAAAGTTGTGTTGCTGAAAGAGGGCAACAACTTCACTCGAATACAACCACACCTAAACTCAATCATTTGGATGGCTTGGTCACTTCTGCATCTTGAGTTATAAAATGCCATCCAGTAAAACTAAAATAAACACAATATGTAAGATATTAAACTTTTTTAAAAATGAGAATATGCTTAATATTCAACTGATGCATTGAATTTGCCATTTTTTATACTAGATGCATTTTATTAATATATCCAGTAAAGAAGGTTTTGTGGAGGTTACAGCCATGTCGCTACAAATACTGATTTTTTTTTTTTCTTCAGGAGTTATTACAGTCAGCAAAAGCAAACAATTTAGGCAAATGTTTTCTTCCCGATGCAGCCGAGCTACCACAGCCCACATGTGGAGCAGAGGGTTGCCATCTAGGTCACCTGGAGGAGCAGATGTTTGTGGGGTGTGGTATGGGCCTTACTTGAGGCCCGTCATTTCCCAATTCATTACAGGAGCACGATCCATGGTGTACTTCCGGGTCGCACGGATCGCGGTTGCTTATGAATATAAACTTGTCTTAATCTACTAGGAAAATTGCGTGCTCCATCTCGTCTATTGTTAATGTAGCTAATTTATGCCACTCGTATTTCTGTTACAAATCATTGGTTGAGATGATGCGACACATTTGACCCGACCCCGAGCTGAATGAGAAAAACCCTGCAAGATACAGAACAAGTTATTTCCAAAGTGAAACAGTGCCACTCTGTGTTGAAGCTGCATATTTAACGGAAATACGAGTGGCGTAAATTAGCAACATGAAAAATCGGCAGAGATAGAGCACATACTTTTTTAAGTAAATTAAGACCGCTCTTATTAATCTAGCGTATTCAAAAGCGATCAATGGGGCCTGAAATAGTCCTTTAAGCGCATGTGCAAATGAGCTACACTACGGATCAGGTTCCACAACAGATTGGGGAATGACAAGGCCCTTAAGCCCTTAGCTTCTGTTGCACCTTTCATCCCCAGGAAAAGAGCATTTTTTTTTGTTTAGAAGGCATTTGCAGAAAATAAAAATCTAATTTTCTCACTAAAGTGAACATTTAAAAAAAAAACACCTTGTTTCACCATGTGTTCTAGGCAAATTGACATGTTTGTAAAAAGGTTGATGTAATTGTCTGCAACACTCAATTCAATGTGAGCTAGTCAGCAGAACATTTTTTTTATCCCCCCCTCTTTTTTCGGCTGTTCCCTTCTTCAGAGGTCGCCACAGCAAAAGTAACTCGCACAAACACTTAGCAATATTTTTTTACGCTGAATGTCCTTCCTGACAACCACAGACCGAGCTACCACAGCCCTCTGTGTGGAGCAGAGAGCTGCTATGGGGCGCCCCGAGACGCAGATGTTGGGGCTTAAGGGCCTTCCTTGCTCAAAGGCCCAGAGTGGGACAAATGAGGGTGGAGGCAGATGTGGATGCTACACCTTTCCCACCCACATTTTGATGTCGTCTGTATTGGGAGTTGAACCGGCGGCCCTTCTGATCACAGACTCGTCTTCCAACCTCTGCTCCACCACTCCCCAAATCTAGTTACCAGAACAATGGCTGCTTTTATAGACATTTCCACATCTTCCTCATTTCATAACGATCTTTCTGCAATTAAAATTTATGCATGTGCTGAAAATTAGGCATGTCTCAATACTAATTTTTTTTTTTCTTCCAGGGTATAAATACTTCAGTTTGAGTACTTGCAAATATAGAGAATGAATATGGCAGAATTAGTCCTTGCATAATAAGTATTTTTTTGTCCCAGATTATTTGTAACGCAGAAGAGAAAAGGACATCAAAGATAAAAATAAAAAAAAAGTTATATATGTCCCAAATATCAGGTTTTTTTTTTTTTTTTTTTTTTTTGTGAATACTAGTAAAAAGTACTTGTGGCTGGTATTAGGCCTGATACAGATACTGGTACAAAGACATGACCAGCGAAAATGCTAATTACTGGAAGGAAATGGTGACAAACTACAACTTTGAGGGGTATGCTCAGAATGTTTGTGTTCATTTTGACACATCTTTAATGCTTGTAGTGACAGAGCAGTTGCCGTGGTAACAAGAACAAGAAACTCACGCTGTAAAGTCTCGGTGCCAAGGACATCCTGGACTGCATGGTCCCAAACGGTCTGGCTGTGATTGCAGAAGAGATGCGGGGGGAACCCTCAGACCGACGGAAACCACGGGGAAAACTGGCTGAACGGGACCAGGACACAGGACTGGACACGTGTTTGGAGCCCTCTGCAGCCTGCTGGGTTCTGTAAGCCATTGCTGAATCCCAATCCAAGTTCTGGCTTTCTTCTTGAGCTTTGTGGATCTGATCCTTCAAATGCTCAGTTGCATCAACTTCTGCTTCATTAACTGGATTTGGACAAAAAGATTTCCCTTTGAACTCCTTGGCTGGATGTGTTTCATGACTCGACATCGATGGAGCAGGATCCAGGCTGCCGTTTGATCGTCCACAGACGTTTGAATTTTCCATAACAACAAAAGGGACTTTATTAGTTAAAATGTTTCGTGTCTGGGCCTGCTCAGGTGGAGAATGGATGAAGATTTTTGTCTGGGAAGTGAAAGGGTGATTCAGAGAAGGTGTGGCAACTCTTGATCCATCTGAGGCCAAAGCTGCAAAGTGGGTCTTTTCTTCAAAGATGCTCCCAGCAGAGGTTGGCACGGCTCCCACAGGAGATCCCTGAGAAGACAGAATAAAGATTAGCTATAGAAAAAGCATCAAAACGTTTAAATTTTTCTTCTGCAAAAACGACAGCCTGATCAGCCAAGCAAGTTCAGTCTACAATTCTTCTGACTGCCTGTGTAAAAGTACGGACTGTACTTGGATGCTTCATAAAACTTCACTTGCAGAAAAACTAACGTATCCACTGAAAGTCAGAAGAAAAACAGGAATTATTTAATGGCACCCGAGTGTGGGTCTTGGAGCTTAAAGTGTCCTCCATGGCGTAGCTGCAGGCCAGCGAAGCTCGACTGCGAGGTCTGAGATCAGAACTCTGGGGTCTTGATGGAGACGAGGTGGAGTAAAGACGAGGAGCAGCACTGTGTTGCCATGGCAACTGGTCTCTGGAGAAGCTTTGAAGAGAGGAGACCTTGTGATTAAAACCAAAAACACGGAAGGATTCATCTTACTAGAGTTTTTCTAAAGCCGTGGCAGTACAGTAGTCCCTCGCTACTTCGCGGTTCGTTTATCGCGAACTCGGTCTATCGCGGTTTTTCAAAACAAGATTGGACATAACAATTGGCTGATTGAGCTGCACGATTGGCATGGCAATTTAATTTTAAATAATTTTAAAATCATTTAGTACCTGCTGCACCTTTGTGCTGCCCATACTGCAGGATAAACTTCCTGCTGCAGCTGATCAGCTGTTCTCCGTGCAGAGGGGAGAAGTGGGCGTGGCCAAGAGCACTTGCAGGTGACAAAGAGCAGAGGAGGCAGGGAGCTGAAGTCATGATATCCTGTGACGTTTTGGTGCGTTTAATGTTTAGAAACATTGTTTAGAATATTGCAGGAGTGTGGGAAGGGTTTAAAGTGCCTTAATTTATAAATACCAAAATAAAAACTACTTGTACTACTAATCCTACTTCGTAGTTTTCACTTATCGCTGGTCTTCAGGGTACGGATCCCCCTTAATAAACGAGGGACTACTGTACGCCACACACACACACACACACCTTTGCAACACCACAATTACCGTTTTCAAGTTTAATTTTCAATCTCACACACCTCTTTGTTGGACAGCTCTGTGCTCGACATGTCTCATGGCTCGTCACAGCGCCATTGGCCATCTGATTAATGACGTGCTCTCTGTGCTGGGACTTCCTGTAGTGCTCAGTATTGGTGCTCCTGCGACGATTCTTCCACTTTGTCAAATCCTGAAACAAATTTTAATCCAACACTGCTGCCTGCAAGAATGTAACAGTCACATCATAGTAATATACTTTTTAATTCTCCTGTAAATCTTAAAATTTAATCTCAGATATTTCAATTGGAGATCGTGTGTGTGCGTGGGTGGGGTGGGGGGTGTTGCTGAAAGAAGCACATTTAAATATTGCCAATACCACACCAATTATAGGTTTATGGATCAAAATTTTACTTTGAGGACAGCTAAAACCTGAAAAGAAATTGCTCTGGTGTGCAGAGAGAAAGGATACCCTCAAAGATGTCCTGAAGTACAAAAATAGACTCATAATGAGCCGTTTTGTCAGAACTGACTTGCCTCCTGCCACTGAGCTTCACCGTCCTTGGCAGCGACACTACGCTTCCTTTCACCGTCTTGGCTCCAGCCCCTGGCCAGGCCGGCGTCCTGTCCTTTGTTATAAATGGGGTTTCCATTTGAAACTTTACGCACAGGGTACACCATCGGGATGTCACTGAGGGATTTGCTCCTGGTTTGGGAAAAACAAAAGGAAAGAACACAGAAATGCAGATGACAGAGGGCAAAAGACGTTGCTCTTTGGTTTTGCACCTCTGGGCCAGCATGTTTCTACAAAATGCATTGACAAGAAAAGCAAATGATACGTTGCATGTTGGGAAAAACATCAAAATGATTTTTTTTTTTTTTTTTAAATAAAGAGGTCTTGGCATTTTGCAAATTGTTATTTTTGCACCACAAAGACATTTATATTGCAGATCAATACTGCCTAAAAAGTGACACTCCAACACAACGAAGCAAAGCATGATCCATGGTTTCCCTGCACAACTGTACGCACAAGCATAGACAACATGCTTGATGCTCTGCATGCTCCATGTCTGACTCACAAACAAAACAGGCTGCAAGCTCACAGCTCAGAGAGCATATTTTGCATTCAAACACCAAAATCCTCGGCTAAGTGTAAGCAGCGAGCAACATGCCAGTCAAGCACAACAGCAGGATAAATGGCAACAGATGCTGCTGTCTGCACAACAACAGCCACAACTTGTACAGTAACAGATAACAGCACAGATGTGGGCAACAGACGATGTCAGGTGTGACATTTAAACAGCAGTGTTCAGCAGGAGGTATAATACAAAGAGTAACAAGTTGAGTACACAAGACTGATTGCAAACAATGCTGAAGTCTGCTGGAAATTGTTCTGTTGAGTCGCAGCTCAGAAAAAAACTAATTGGGCACTCACATCTTTATGAAAAGCCAAATAAAGTTTAAAGGAAAAATCTCTTGTGGTGCATGTAATGTAAAATAAAAAAAACATGGGAGGGGTATACTATGAAGAAAGACTTTCTGCTTTGCCAACCATGTCCAGCTTCAAGTCCAAGTTCAGAATCAATTTTAGAGTTGTCCAGGCCACTCAAGCTGGTGATGAGTTCAGAGTCCAGTCACTGATTTGGTTCTTTACAGGCTGAGAATCAGACACGTTTGTTACTAGTTCTGCAAGAATTTAAAAATAAAAATGTCAAATAAATTAAAAATCTCAAGTCAGTGCACCACATTAGTCGTTAGTTAAATGTTGACATTTTATTTTACAAGTGTACAGCATATATGGCACATTATACGCCCGTCGACAACCTATAGAAATGGTCGGGACACGCAAAGACCTTGTTTTAACTTTGAGCGGTGTGGATGAAATGTGTGCGCAACACGCCGTCTGGTGATGCATGTGTGTGTGAAGTTTTACATTATCTTTTGCAGATCAAAAATTATGGTTGGGACAAGAGAAAATGTGTGGATGTGCAGACAGACGTACGGATGTTCGCTTTTTGATGAGTGTCTAAAATTTAGTCACAAAATTAAATAAATGTAAAAAAAAAATAAAAATAAAAAAGTGTTAAGCTTCATCATCCAGGTAGATGACAAAAAAAAAAAAGTTTAATTATGTCATCTGGATTAGTCTAAGTGAGAAACATTTCATCCCCCATCCAGAGTACTTCCTCAGTCTACCAATCAGATCTGTCCCATAGGTAGCAGTCAGTGCAGCGTTTCAAGCCAACCTCCTGCTGTAATCTCTAAAAAGGGAGGCTTAAAACACAATCTAAAACAATCGTGTACAACAATCAAATGTTTTAGGCCTGATGACCAACTTGCAAACTAAGTCCTCTGGATGGGGGATGAAGCGTTTCTCAGAGATGTCAAAAAAAAAAAAAAAAAAAAAAAAAAAAGTCAAAATGCTTATTTGAAAGTACAGTCAGAACCACTATAGTAGTACCCTTCATCTCACGTGTTTTAAGTTTTGTCAAGGCAGGCTGAAAGAAGAAAAGTACAGTTCTGGTAATTTTGCTTCATAGAATACCCCTCAGAAGAAGCAGCAACAAAGCAGACGCGCTGAAAGTGAAAGCAACCTCAAATACACGTAGGACTCACCAAATCCAGCCAGGGTTGACCGGAACCGGTCTCACCTGGATTTCATATGTTCTACAGAACCAGAAAAATGAATCAGTGCAAACAAACACCAATTTAAAACCAAGAAGCTGAGGCAACTGAATCACAATCATTAAATGCAAGACAAGTATAAAGATAAAACCCCCCCCCCCACCCCCCCACACACACACACACACACACACACACACACACACACACCTTATGGCAGCTGTGAAATGCTTCAGGGCCTCATAATTTAAAACCAGAATATGAAGGCTGGTGGATTTGTTTAACATTGTGCAGCATAAATATTAGACCGTTTGACAATTTATTAGCCTGCAGTGACAAATTTATTTTTTAACACTCAATGTCTCACAGCAGCAAACTGGAAAACAGTGCCAAGGGGGGGAAAAAAAAAAGCCGTTATAAATAACGTGTTTCTGTTATGGCTACAGAGACGATTCACGAGTCATGTTTAACAATTAGGAAGCAGTGAGTCACTCAGCATGTCGCTGTTAAAATGTCTTTCACATTATCAGCACAAAAAGGTGAAAGTATAAATAAAAACATGCAGCATGAAGGAACAACAACCTAATCGTAAAATATTTTAGTCTGCAAAGAATTGGAGTGATTTCCTAAAAACGAGACACTGAGATAACATGTCGCAGCTTCAGGCCGCCGTCATGTGTGGCATGTAATTAGGAATATGGGCCCCATGAGGGACTTTTAGTTCAGGCTTGGAGAGACGTCCAGGGTTCTGAGCTTCTCCTGATGTAGCAGGTGATGCATGTTGGGAAATCAAGCCCAACTCTTCAAAAGCCGACGCTTTCTGGCTACAGTCAAAAACAGAAACAAAAAAAAGAGGATCTGCATGAAACAAACGCAGCATAATTAACAGTACATGACAAAATGTTACATGAAGAAATTAAAATGACAAGTTTATCTACATTCTATTACTGCACTAGCTAATTGAATGAGCAAATTAGTTTAGTTTGAATGTTTTAGCATAGTAAAGCACAATTTCTTAACAAGATCACACACAATCATTAACAAAACAGGATGCATAAAGCATGCCACGGTTTCATGGGTCATTTTAGTATAAAAACACAAAATTAGAACTTCATGCGCCATGGGTACACAAACATGTTAGCTCACACTTTAGCCTGCAAATGCAGCCACTTCCCAACTTGTTATATAATTTGTAACCCTTAACCAAACAGAACAAAACTGTAGCTCCAGTTTTGTCTCGTATTAGCTTCACGTCAGTTTTAAAAATAACAGACCTTAGACCAAGCATTTTACGATACCAGGGTCGTTTCTGGGAGCCGAGGTAGATCCTGCGGACTCGACTTTCCTCTTCGGGTGTCCAGTATCGAGGCAAAAAGCGGTCGAAGTCGGGGTTGAAGGACGTCTGATGGAGGGTCTGCTGGACGCGCCGGAAATACAAATCATCAAGGATTGGGTCTGCCTCCGTTTGATCATCTGAATCGTCTTCGCACTGAGCTTCCAGAAAAAGCTCCTCGCTGATGGCGCTCTCGGGAGTCTTTGGTGATGGAGACGACGGGGAATCTAGAGCTCTGCAGTATAGAGTGGTACACCTCATGTCTGATCACGAAGGCTTGCATTTAGATCTTAATGAGCCGAAAGAAAGAGCTCAAAGTTGTTAGGTGGCGTGGTTATTAAATGTGGGGAATACAAGTGTTACGGAAGAGTTTAGGGTTAAATAATGTTCTTTTGCCTTAAAGTAGTAGAGTATTGGGATCTGAGGTTAAGAAATGGCTGTCAAACGAGGTTAAAAGCCTGAAGCATCAATGTTAATATCCTTCCAAAGATGCCAGTTATTCTAGAAAGAGCACAACAAGTAATTGTTTTTTGATCAGTGTGATCTACATGTATAGACATTTGTTTCTTCATTCCCAAGTATTAGTTTTAGGTTTGGCTGGCCTTCCAAGTGCACTAAACACTTGTTAGTTTATGTCCGCGGCACCACAGTCTAATCGATTCCCAGGTCCATTATTTTAAATGCCACTTAAGTGGCAATGATGCACTGTTTTTTTTTTAAATTTATTTATTTTTATTACCAATATAAATAATAGCAAAAATTCCAACAATATTTGTGGCCCTCTGGTGCCTGCATGACAGCAGTCTTTTTACATTTCCTCAGAACATACAGTCTTATTTCCCCCTCAATGTTTACAGTTTGGACGCATCTCTTTTCTTCCAGTCCGGCTATGACACAGCTAGAAGAGAGAGCACCGAGGGTATAATGGAGGGTAAAGGGTTTACCTTAAACTGAGAAGGACCCATTAGATCCGACCTGCCGACATGACCCAACGGGGAAAATACTAGAAACAACAACTGGTAACAACCAAAGACTAAACATAATCAGAGGATTCACTGAATTCATCTCATTTTGACCTCTCTTTAGTCAAAGTGAGCAGACGCCACTTTTGCAGGTGGATTTGAGTGGAGCATCCAACTGATGCTTAAAATGGAGAAACTTCCACCCAATGATCCAGTTTTGTCAGTCGGGCTGCAAATTATTCTTTTTATACATCGTACCACTGTACACATTTGAGCAGATTGTGGAGGGATCAGGTACGAGTCCCACTGACAACCCCCCACCCCCCCAGATTCTTCCTTCTTCAGGGGTCACCACAGCGAACTAAGTCACACGAAGACTTGGCGATTATTTTTACGCCAGATGTCCTTCCTGACGCAACCACAGCCCTCTGTGTGGAGCAGAGAGCCGTTATCTTGGGTGCAGATTGTGGGGTTTAAGGGCCTTGCTCAAGGGCCCAGCATGGGGCAAATGAGGGTGGAGGCAGGTGTGGGTGCTTCACCTATCCCACCCACGTTTTGATGTCAGTACAGGGAGTTGAACCGGCAATCTCCCGATCACAGGCCCACCTTCGCCAACCTCTGCACCACCACTCCGCAGCACCACTCCGCAGCTTCCAACTGACAAATACAGACGACTAAAAATCATGCACAGGATAAACAAAACTTAAGAGCCAACTTTAAAAAGCCCGAACTGAGCCCAACGTACTCCGTTAACTTTGATTCAAAGCAGCCACTAAAGAGGCTTGTAATAAATTAAAGCTTTTTTTTTTTTTTAAACCAGGGAGCAACAAAAAAAAAAAACCTGTCCCAAAGTGAGCCAGTACCAAGCTAAACTAAATTTACCGTAAACGAGACCTCTGATCACAGAACGACGCCCAACAGGTGAGTTTGTGCTCGTTCAGTTGCTGAAGCCGTGATTCGTCAACAGGATTAAACACTAAACAGTTTGTTAATCATTGCACTCACAAGCATGCCGTTACACACACACACAGTTGAAACAGGTTGTAAAACCAGCAGCAAATCCAATACAGGCAGTGAAAAGAAGCAAACAGCAGCCAGTTCTCTGGTGCAAGGTCAGCTCTGGATAAGCGAGTTCGCAGCAGCGTGTGAACACGTTTTCTGTACCTGGGGAGTGGAGTCGCAGTGGCCCCTGCAGCCTCCTCCCGTCCTTGTTTTCTTCCAAGCGGAGGTGGGATGATGCCTTTGTTTTGCTGGGCCGAGAGACACGGATTATCCATCTTGAACACCTGCTCAGCTTCAGCGTCACTTCCACAACCTGAAAATTACAGACATACAAAAAATAATAAAAATAAAAAATAATGCGAAAGCTGGAAGGAAATCCAAAAGCAAAGAGAACTGAAGAAAGAAACCTTTTCTGGATCAGTTGGTTCACAGCTGAGCCTCCAGGGAGCATCAAGCCAAGTATTATACCTTCTCCCATTACACATTTTTAGCACCCCAGTGTGGAACTTGCCACAATGAAACACTGACGTGCGCGGAGCCTGGCACAGTTACATGCAGGCAAATGATAAACTGAGCTAAAAAGGACTGCCATATAAAATAATGACTTAAAATTAAATTAAGCACATTAAACATGAAGCAATTTTTTAAAAAACGGACAAATGTGTCACCCTGACCAACATGAAGTGGTTTCATTTCACTGCAGAACCACCATAAGGACTTCAGGCCTCATGCTGAAGGACAGATCTGACAGCTTATTTACGAGGAAAAAGAACAGAACGCACACACACCTTCTTCATTTAGGCGGAGAGCGCGGGTGTCCAGAGACTCGAAGCAGTCCTCAGAGTTCCCTCCAACAGAACTCGGTCTTAAATCCTGACATAACTCTCCCTCTGAGGAGTGGTACTCTTTGTATCCCCCATCCTTCACAAACACATTACTGCCTTCTTCTAGAGCCTGGTTTTAGAAGACAAGGTCAATACAGACAGGAAAAAAAACAAACAATACAATAAAAAAACTGAAGGCCAGAAAGTGTCTCACCTTGGACAAAGCCAAACCTAACAGACCCTCGAAGGACTTGTAATCAAGTTGAGGACCAGAGTAAACTGGGTCTAGTTGAGCCTTACGACCCAGCCAGTATATGGTGATAAGCACCTACGAGACCAGAGAACATTCAGTCAACGCATTGAACCACAAATATTTCTTCCTCTACATAAAAGTAAAAATATCCTGAAAACTAAAGACAAACACTTTCAATTTAAAATAAAAAAAACCTAAATAATGTAAAAGGTGAAGAATGTTCGTCTTTCCCCGAGCAAATAATGCTTTTAGGACCAAAAATTGAGCAATTAGAAGAACACGGCATCAAAGGTTGCTTTAAACACTGTGGCTCAAAGCAATAGTGATAATAATTAGCAAAAAATAAATAAATTTAAATAAAAAATAAAAATAAAAAAAAAAAATAAAAAAAAAGTACTGAAAATGGTTCTCTGCCTTTTATCTTTTAACCACCGTTATTTTACTTTGGATGCATACATCTAAAAGCTGCGGTAGTGTTTCTGCACATCCAGCCTGAGCTTTGCATGGACGAGTTCAAATGTCTGAGCTGGCAGCAGAAAATGCACAAAGAAAAATCTGATTAGTTTGGACCTTTGTCCAGATTCTCCAGCATCTGTAGCAGCAGCACCAACTCCCTGCACAGCTCAAGTAGATTCAAAACTTTTGAGCAAAGCAAAAGTTTAAGTTGCGTTAAAAAACCCCGGCAACTATTGTATTTATTAGTTTATGAGATGTCCTCTCAGTGATCTCCTCTTCATCTCCATCACAAACCTTGAGAAACTATTGACACGCTCCAACAATGTTCAGTTAGATCATCTGGATCTGGTTTCTTTTGTTGCCGAGACGTTTCGTCCTTCATACAAAAAGGACTTCAGTCTGTGGAGCCCACCAAACCAAAACGGCTCAGCAATAAAAGAAACTGTACAGATGACCCGACTGAACATTGCTGGATTTTTACCTGGATTAATGAACCTGAACTTTGGTGTATTGACACGCTCTACTTGAGGCTATAGCTACAACAACAATGTAGAGTGTCGTCAACATATACACACACGTGCATGTACCACCTTGAGGCATCACCTGGTGTGCAGAGCTGACAGTGCAGTAGAATTGTGTGCAGTGCAATGGTAAAACTTTTTACAAGGAAGTCTGGATCATCAAACATTGTAATAGAACACCAAATTGGAGGAAAAATACATAGAAACTTACATTTTTCACTCGTCTCTGGCTTTCATCCCGCCTAAAGAAAAAAAAAATTAAAGATTTAAAAATGGTATGGCACTTCTCTTTATAACGTCTGATTTCAAATGCTCTCTTACAGAGCAATAAATATGCATCCAGTTAAACACTGAGCAATAGAGCTGTGTGTTTCTCATTTGCAAATTGCCAATAAATCAACTATTTATCAGGTTTTATAGAAAAGAACTTTTAGATAAAAGTGCAGTCAGGCAAATACCATTATCAATGCAAAGCAGCTCATTTTATTTACCTTTACCAGTACAGGCCTTATAATAAAATTCTAAAACCAAAAAGTGTTTCGTCATTACATTCAGGTATCTTGTCAGTTTTATGAGCTCTTAAAAAAGTTGTGCATTTTATAGATTAAAATCCCTAAACACAGGACCTTTGTCTCCTACACATGTATTAGCATGTTGACTCTACTGATAACCACATCACCTGAGTGTCACTCGAGTGGACAGGTCCTGAAGGTCACCTGGATGAAACAGCTGAGACTCATTTAGGCCAAGTTTCCCACAGGCTTTCAGAAAAACATTCACGTTATCCTAAAAAGTGTGCAAAAAAAAAAAAAAAAAAACAGTTAAAAAAAAAAATGGCTGCAGAACAGCTGGAATGAGCTCATATTGAGTGAGGCTGCAAAATGCCCACAGCAAAAACTGAACACTTGCATCTGCATCATCCAAAGCAAATTGCGAGTCGTGTTAAATGCAGCTCCATTAGGACTGGGAGCACTTGTCAATAAATACTGATTTATCTGTAATTATAAGTTCGCCAGACACAGCAGATTTTAAACACAGAGCCAATTACCATTAATTAGGAATTGACAAAATTGGCCATTTGAAAAATTCCTCTCACTCTGCTCCAGGCACGGAATAAGAACAGATCTTTTAGTTTACTTCAAAAAGTGTCAACACAACAAAAAGCTCTAGAAGAAAAAAAAACATTTTTTGGTTAATATACTCGCCTTTTAACAGAAAACTTAAGTAAAGATTAACTGAACATAAAACATTGCCATCTTGAATAATGTGGGTCTGAGCCATTGTTAGATTTTCGGAAGCAGGATGCAGCTGATGGAGATGGTCAACTACTTAAAGTTGCCATATTTGCAGATTTAAAAGTCACACCTTTTTGCATAAATTTGCAAGTCCTGCAACTTATACACTGACGCGACTAATATACATCACCCCCACCCCCACCCCACCCCCCATATTTATAACAATTTTTGGATGATGAGATCTGACCATTTCATTTATTCTGGCATGAAAAATATTCAACATTAACATCTGCAGCCCCTAGATGGCCAATTTATATGGCAAGCCAAGTGTCTCATTAATAGGTAAACGTGGCTTTTAATGAGACTTGCCATGTGAGACACCTTCGTCTCTCTGAACTCCTGGAGCAAACATCAAATCAGCTGCATTATGTCGCGCCACCCAGGCAAAATGCAGCTAATTTGAGCATTAAAGTGCATTTATTAAGGAAAAAGTCAACTGAGAAAAACATTTGCTATAATTTCGAGCAAACAAATAACTGTTTTTAAGTGTTGATCTTGTTAAATTCTTGTTAAAGTCCTCCTGTGCACGTTCCTGCCATTTGGCAGCCAATCGATTTTTGGCACAACACCGGCCCACGTTTCCAGGTGGTCAGTGGTGACAATAGATGTGACTTATATGGCGAAGCGACTTATTTATGTTTTTCCCCCCACACACACTTTATTCGACATTTTTGGACTGATGCGACTTTATACGGCAGTGCAGCGTGTACGGCAGCAAGTATGGTAGTTCAGATCTTTTGAAACTGGTTTTATAGAATCATAGACGTCTTACCCGTTGTAGATAGCTCTGAACAACCTCAGTTAGAAAAAACATTTCCAAACCTTTGCCAGTTTAATGTTACATTATTATTTACACTGACTTCTGTTTATTTGAAAAGGCATGTGATGACAGCAGCAGCTAGCTGTAGCACTTATGGTTTAGCCAGGATTTTAATACAATTTCTGGTAAAATAAATGTATTATGAAAATGACAGCAATGTAAAGGTTTATAAAATAAAGTTTCTATAAAATTAAACAAAAACAGTTTAAAGATTACTGTAATTAGTAATTAAATAGTAATTTTCAAAAAATTAAGTCTACTTAAAATGTGTAAACTGCAAGACCAACGCAACCATAACTAAATAAAATAAAAAACACTGGCTCCAAGTAGTGACATGCCAAGTTGTTTCCTCATTTTCTATTCATCTATAACCCCACCCCCTTAAAATGAAAAGAAACACATCGAGGGATCAGTGGCTTTACACCATCATAAATTATTATTAAAAGATTGTAAAATGCAAATGATGGCTCAACTTCACCGTCAGGACACAGGCATCCTCTTTTACATTGATCTGTTGGATGGGTGAATAAAAGAAAATGAACTCCAACTAGCAACACGAGCCTCAGAGTTTGACTGTCAAATATTCCAATTTGACGAGTATTAAAGTATCTTTAAAGGGTTTCCTGCACAAAATGTGTTGGTAGTGGTCAGACTAGTCATTAACTTTTCATTTTGATCAGACTTAAAACTAGAAATAGCCATCCGCAACAGGTAAGATATTAACTGTTCACAACCTCTCCACAAAACCCAAATATAAATAAATCTAAACTCGTTTCAAAACAAATTCCAATTTGCCAAATGCATTAACTGCTATTCAAAAATTTTGAAAAAAAAAAAATAAAAATTTGCACCCACTTATAAATTATTAAAACGTGAACCACTGGTGTGGTCCTGTAAAACGTCAGCAGTATCTGCAGCTCCCACGTCTCCACCCCAGTCAGCTCGTCTGCATTTACCGTTATGCTCCAGTAGTTTGTGGTATCTTTGGGGAGATCGAAATTGATCCTCTACTCTTGCTTTGGGCAGTTTTGGCAATTATGCTTGTATGGAACCACTGAAACGCAGCATGAATCCAAAATAATAATAATAAAAAAAATCTCCATCTGTATTAATGCTCAACATAAGTTTCCATGTTCAGCAGTTTGGATGGTTATCACACTAAATGCAGTTTAAAGTTCATTCAGACTAGAGGCACCTTGTTTCTTGGTGCCTTAACAGGAAACCACACAATGCGTCAACACTTCCTGGCTAGCAGGTGCTTTTCTCCCATTCGCTGTGATTATATTTGCAGACGCACACATCAGAAGAAGAAGTGTCACTCACCAGGCCAGCGATTGGAGTGGAGAGCCTGTTCACCCGCTTGATGAGGCCAGGTTTCAACTGGTTGATTAGGCTTCACAGAAAAAACAAACCATTACCAAACAGAACATTTCCAGCTGCAAATGTTCAGAGCCTGTACAGAATTAATTCAAATTTTTTATTCTTCAACCATTTGCCGCCAACAAGGGTTGGATTGGACCAACGTAATGTTTATTGTATGATTTTTTTTTTTGTAGTTAATGTTATGAAAGTTAATTTAGAATGTGATTTGTTGGAAATTAATTCACCGGAGAGGATAAAAAAAAAAAGAGTAGAATATAACCTCATTGTTCAGGAACACAAGAGTGCAAATTTGAATAAATAGTTTAAACATTGGTTCATATGTGCAAGTCAAATAAATATACATTTAAAAAAAAAAGTTACTAATCTAAGGGTCTGTACGACCATTTTATTTCTTTAAGTGTGCACCTCAGATGCGAGTTGCAGCAATTTTCTGGAGTTGCAGTACTCACTCGCAAAGAAGGACTCCATTCGCCAAGGCTGCACGGAAGTCATTGCAACCGAAGGATTTCCCGGTCACTTCCTAATAAAAAGACAAGATAAAAATAAAAAAGGGATAATACTTTAATCCAAACCCCCTTCATCTCAGTTTGTGTTTAAGTTTCTTTGACTAGAAAAGGGAAAAATCAATCCCTCCACTGCATAAATAAAAAATAAATAAAAATAAAAAACTAGTACCACACATGGCCTGCTATCCTTCATGCCAGAATTGTAAAATTGTGTCAAGAAATGAGGTGAAGTCATTTTGGTCAAACCCTGAATAAAACTCAAGCTTCCTCAGCTTCTGCCACACCACAGGTTTTAGCTTTACGTCCGTAAAATTCACCAAGTTATGGCATTAGTGGGATTTCAAAAGAGTCTTTTGGCGGTGGCAGCCATCTTGCATTGAGTTGAACTCAAAATTAAACTAGTTGCAGCTGTACAGTAAAGCAAACTATTTTGGTTTGCGCTTAGAGTACTCAAAATCAGCTGATTTACAAGCTAAAACGTAAGATGGAAGCCATTTGTGAGGATTGCAGGCCACCTGTGGCTTCTAGGACTCGCCAGCATGTTGGAGATGACATTGGAGGGGGCTCATAAGCACGGACCAGTGGAATGCCCCCAAATTTGGCCATTTTTGGATCTTGAAAGTACCAGCAGGACTCAAGGCTGGAAAAAATAAAATTTATCTATCTATCCATCTTATCTGACTCCCCCGTTTGGCCTTGGAAGCAGGCCAACTTATCAAGTTTCTCTTGAGATTTGTGTAAACTAAAGAAAAGCTTTGTCTACTGCATCCCCCAGAACTTCTGTGAAGGCTCATCAGAACTGCGCCAGCTGGCCAACATCTTAATCAGGACTATCTGGAAGTGCTTCATGGACACATCACACCATCGTCAAACGTATATGTAATGAGTTTATAAAAAAAAAAAAAAAAGCTCTTGCTGGTAGAGGTTTTTTGAGGTCTTAAATCGTGTCCTAATATGACAAGATATATTTTTTTGTAATACCACTATCCTATCATGGCGTTTTCCACTTTTCCATCTTAAAAAAAATAAAAATAAAAAGGTTTTCTGAAAGTGGATAAGGGGCCGCAAACCAGTAGCAGCAGCAGCAATGATGCGCTCCACCAATCTTTCGGACGACTGTACGAACAATCTCATTGTAGTTTGGTACAATGATAAAGCTAATTCCTATTCTACGATAGTTCATTAAAATTCATCCAATGGTTCACAAGATAATTTCGGTAATTGACAAAATTTTCCTTGTGGTGGCAAATGATAACTAGTATCAAGAACCAGATGTTAGTTTATACAGACCAACTGGGACAGTTGATGCAAACCCATCAAATGTGCTGTTACTAGCAAAGACAGGATGAGAATGATGTGAAGCTCAGTCATTACACACCTTTATCATCTGAAAAACAATTAGTAACTCAACCTCTGAGTTTTACCTCAAAAAGCTGGAAAACAAGAAACATTTTCATTTAGGTACAAAAAATAAAAATAAAAACCCACACGATTGCAAGGCAAAAAGAATAAAAGACATTTATGCAGACGATCATAGCCACACGTTAAAAAATTTTTGGGCAAAATAAAATAAAAATAGGCACCATGATTTTATTTCATCAAGAGCAAACTCCGGGCGAAAGGGCTTTGTAATGAGGACATAAAAATGGGACTATTAAAGTCTGCTTCTACGACTATCCGAGGGCCCCAAAAGGCTGTTCTTCTCACTAATTAGTCCCCCCAGGAATCCACAATCACAGTTCAGTTTTAGTTGAACTGGGCATACATGGATGCTTCTCTGTGGAATCAGTCAAACAATGTAGAGCAAGGTTAACGCAGCTAAACAATGTGCTACTGTGGAACAGCCAGACTTTGGATGGTTTCACCCCCCCCCCCCCCCCACCCCACACACACACACACAAACCATTCCTTAACATTCATCTACAAATACAGTAAATGCCATAAGTCAGCTTTTCCAAAAGATTCATTTCAACACTCGCAGTTTAGACAAAAGGCCTTGCACTCTTTGAAGGAATGCATATCACCCTCCATCTTCAAAATTTACGGTGAAAAGGAACATACTTGGAGGGGTTTTGGTCAGACTTTATAAAATATGTTATATGCACAACTTCATGCCAAACTATGAGACTTCCTGTCAAGTGATGGCACTTACCAGATGTAAACCAATTTCAGCACATCTGTAGAACTAATTCAAATTACAATGTGAATTAGAGCCACTGTGCATTTTTGAAGGTCACTTGGCTGCGACAGCCATTTTAAAATTCAGCTGGCTGAATACTAGGAAACACCTTGTAACTATGACTTTCCTTCCCTCCATTGACTAGGGTGATGACATCTATAGGACCGCTCCTACAAGCACCCTGCAGATGCCGTCTATCACGGTGCTTTAAGATTCATAACTGGCTGTAACTACTGTACCCACCACTGCACCCAGTATTCACTGGTTAACTGGACATCATTAACTTCACGCAGACTCTCCCACTGGTACATTTTCATCTTTAAATCACTTCTTGGTCTGCTGCCTTCATACATCTCCTCCTACATGTCTCTGCGTGAGTGCAGCTACAGCGTGCGCTCTCAGGACATTATTACCTGCAGTGTTCCCTCAGTGTGTGGACTGAACCTTTTCCTACTCCGCTCCCGTTTCATGGAATATCTTGCAAAAAGATCTGAAGCTCTCGACCTTGACCTCTCCAAGTGGCTTTTAAACATCTGTTAAGTTCACTTTTCTCATCCAAGCAAAATATTATTCTGAATAATAAGCACATTCATAGTTGCAGCTTCGTGCTCTCCACCCATCTTTCGGATGACTGTACATACATGTTCTTGTTGTATCTCGATACAATGATAAAGTTTATTCTGAAAAAAACAATGCAGACATGTTCCTGTTTTTAGTTTTCTACACAGCCTTATAATCTAGCCGTTTAATTTTTATTTATTTATTTTTGACTCTCCTTTTGGTTGTCATTTTGTTTTGTTTAATAAAAAAAAAATAAAATAAAAAAGTATAATTATTTAGTTTCTGCCCGATTAAATCATAGGATTGCATGAAAGATGTTTCCTCTCCCTGAAAAGAAAAGCACCGCTGCACAGCAGGAAACACTTGGTGAACACTTTGCTTTCACCAAATCGTCTTTTTATATGAACGCATCAGAGACCGAGTCTAATTCTGAGGGGGAGCAGGTCCTTGTGCAAACATTTCCACATACTCGCAGCTGCGCTAACGATAAATAGTTAGCATGTATGGATTCTGGAGGCCCATTATCCTGCTGTCTGTAGCTGGGGATATCTGCGATACCACATTTACATTGTCATCTGGCACAAGCAGGAACGTATGAAACAATTTGAGAATCAGCATGCCTTGCTGCACTCCTGTCAAACACACAGCTCTCATCATTGTTCCCCATCCTTTCATCTGTCAGAGCAGGAAAATAGACGGGTAAAATTGGCATGGCTCCCTGCCAAGAGCGCCCTGGACAAAAACTCATGATCTATTCCGACACAAGTGACGTTAATGGTTCCATTTAGGGCTGATTGACACGCCGCCATCTACGCTCCATACTCTGCATGCATTGGTTATATTTTGGAGGAAGACAAAACTTCAGAAATGAATGAGCAGAAGCAGGCTGAAATATTTAATGAATGTTTTGCTGTAAAAAAAATAAAATAAACCACATCCTCCAAAGAGTGTCACATCTTACCTAATGATGTGTGGCACGAGAGCGTGCAGAGATCCTGTACAAGCTTCCTCTGCAAGTTCTGCTCGTCCCTCACAGGCAGACATCAAGACACGACGTATCAAATTGGTACTTCATTTTGTGTGAATGCTCACTCAGCATTCACACAAAATGTTTTCCTGTTTTAATATCTTTCCTTTAAGTTGTATTTACAAATCTAACCACTTCTGTAAAGCGTGTGCTACTTCAGTCAATCGTAAAATCAAAAACCTTTGGCTCGTTTACAAGATGGGCGATGTAACTTTTGGTGGCTGGAACTTAATTTATAATCTTATAATCATTTGCCCCATATAAATGCATTTAGATTCCTTCAAATGCATTATTTAAACTCTGTTCCAGCATGCTTGCTTAGGTTTAAGCCTCTGTTTTGCAAATTAAAGAGTTCACAAAGTCCTTTGTTGCTTTTAGCTTTTAATATGTTGCTCATTTTACATTTAGCAACTCAGTTTCAGCTTCATTCAGCAACTCATACAACAGAAAATGGATTTTCTTACTTAAACATTGGCCTTCTCTTCATTTGAATCCTGCATTCAAATCAGTTTTATCTGAAACACACTGAGGCCTTTCTGTCAAACTTGTAATTGAGTCTTATCATGAGGGGGTTTGCATCTGCTCTCAAAGATAAGTGTGCAAAGTGAGCTCGTGTTGAGCTAAACAGAGCTGAAGAGCTGCAGCTGAAAGGTTTGAAGCAAAGCAGCAAGACTCATGTGAGCTTTCACTTCCTGACTCCACAATGAGCTGCATAAACCTTGAGCCATTTCATCCCAGCTGTCTGCACAGACACAAAGTGAGCAGCAGCACGGGAAGCTGCAGAGAATCCAAGCAAGTGATGAGAAGTGAACAGACCTGAATCCAGCGTCGAGCCTCCGTGAAGGCCTCCGCACAGCTGAGGCTGCTCTGCCGGCGCCACTCCATCTCAATCTCCTCAACAAGCAAGAGACCCAGCAGCTCTAATTAAAGGGCAAAAACAGGCAACAGCTCATTAATTCCAGAGTGCAGGCAGCAAGCCTTTCAAAGAAGTTCAACCGAAGCAAGAAGACATGAGGAAAAAGTGTTTTCTGTTTCATGGAAGAAGTAATAAAGTCCAACCTGAGGCAGCTTCAGCTCCACAGCAGCAGCTAAACCTGTCTGATCAGGGAACACGCCTGCTGCTGACTCCCACCTCTGACAGCTGTCACTTATCAGCTGAAGAGAAGAGGAAAAGGCCACGCCCACATGAAAGTGCTGCAAACTTTTGAAGGGAAGTAAAAGTTTGATTACAAGCCCCTGGTGGTCTGTGAGAGAAAAACATCTAATGGAAACTGAATGTGTGAGGCTGAAAAACAATATACTGTAATAAGATATTAAAGGACTTCTGAAATACTCATGGAGTTTATACAAATATAAATTGAGATTACTTGACGCTGATCCATTAGTATGCTCATATATATATATATATATATATATATATATATATATATATATATACACAATTAATTAAACATGAATACAAATAAATTAAATTCACAATAAACAAATTGTGAGATTATTTTTTCCTTGTAATGACAAACAGCTTAACAAAATCCTTATAGTATATGTGCTTTTTTTATTTATATTCTTCAATAAAGATGCTTTAAGCTCCAAACAACAACAAATACTTTGAATATTGATCAAATCAATTCCCAAAAGCTGCATTTTTCCACTAAAATTGACTAAAATTGTACAACAAACAAAACAAAGTATAGACATAGCACATTTTCCATAGCTACAGGCCTGTCCACAAGTAGAAAAACCTGAATACCTATTGTTTCAGTGACGTTTGTGCAGCAGATAAGTCTCTACACATTATTTGAAATGCAACAGATGATCCTCCTCAGTTCAGTTCCTCTGTGTTTTATCACCTGCTGCAAAAGAATAAAGGCAGATCGTTGTATGTTATTAAATTATCTCTAAGAACCAAAAGATGAATGCTAACGAAACTTTCAGAATGTAACAATCAAAATAAATCTACAACTGATTATCTTTTAGAGTCTGATCAAGATGGCCAAAACAGCAAAGCTACTTTAGCACCCACAAAAGTGGCTCTAATTCAGCCATTTTTACTGATATTAAGCAAAATTACAACAGAAGTTAAGCATTTATTTAAGGAATGTTAGGAAATAAGTTGTTCTCATAAAATCTGGCAGGAAATCCTCAGTTTGAAACAATTTTAAACATTTAAATACACAAACAGCAAATCAAACATTCAAAAAAAGAAGGTGTAAAAAATGTGCTTTTCCTAGTTTTATTTTCTTCACATTCCCTATCTGCATCTAAAGAACTGTGAAGAAAGAAATGAGGGCGTATTTCAAAGGTGGATTTCCTATCTTTTATTCTGAGGAGATGAAGGATGGCTCGTGACAATTTCATTTCCACACATAAACCCCCTTGGTATCAGTGGAAAAGTGTTTTTATCTCATGCTACACACACCAGAAAGCATAATGAGAAGTTGCTGGACGAGTCTCATCCTGCATTAACTTCATGCTCACTCCGATCCAATTTCCTGCCGAATGCCCGAGGATTTGCTTCACCAAGGAAACAAAGGCAACGATGGATTCCCATAATTGTCAAGTAAAATTAGGTGCAGGACACAGATGCAAATTTAACGAATAATCAATAATCTTCATGCACCTTCGAGTTATGAGCAAAGAAAATTGGACTTGTTATTATGAAAACATGCTTCAAAACTATTTTCAGATTTTCATCAGGTTATGAGACTTTACAAGAGCATAACACATTTTCAAATTTAAAGGCCAATTCCTTGAAGAAATGCATATCACCCGCCACCTTTCATGTTAGAGTTTGAAACTAAAATAGTCTTTTTCTGATGAATGACAGGGTTGTAGTTGTAGTCAGAAAAATACCATCATGCTGTTTCATGCATATAATTTCTCACATTCCTTATGATTAGTTGACAGTGCATCTGTTGTGAATGACTGTCAACTACTACCATCCAAAGTTAGCTTCATGTCAACAAAGATCTAAAGACATTTTTGTGTTTGATAAGGTCGCTTTGCTGTGACAGCCATCTTTGAATTGAGCTTACATAAAAAGATATATAGATGATCACTTTCTGTGAGTTTTATTAAAATACGTTCAATGACCCATGAGATATTTTGCTAACAGTGTACAGACACACAGACGGGCAGAAACCTCATTGCTTTGTCTTTCTGGTGATAAAAATTCTGTTTTTATTTATGAAAACTGAAAAAAAAAAACAGTTAGCCATCTCCATTCTGCTCCGTTTCAACACATGTGGGAATGTTCCAGATGTTCCTGTTTTTAGTATTTTATATCACTTTATAATGTAGCTGTTTTTGTTTTGTTTTTTAAAATAATTTCTTCCATTTATTTTTCAATTTATAAGCTTTTTAAAAAAAAAAATAATTGTCTACTGTTGTCATCATTCTTTGTTTAAAACAGGTATCTCTTGTAAATGAGTCCTCGAGACTCTGTGAGACTAACCTGTATAAATAATGGTTGAATTGAAGAAAAATAATAATTTCACATATAAAAGGGTTATTTTTTAAATGTATTTTTAATTTTTAATTGCTCTAGAGTTGTTAGAATATGACAATATTGTGCATTTGTCCCACCCTGTCCACGACTTTGTCCTCGGTGGTGTTTGTTGTTTAAAATACTTAAAAAAAAAGTTTACATGTTGGATTCAAAATGGATCTTAAGGGGGACAGACTTCAGAAAAGGGATGGTTCATTGTTTTGTTTTTTTTGAGGGTTTGCTACACATACTCAGGTATTGATCAGATAAAAAGCAAGATTAGTGGAAGTAAGACCCAGGGGAACAACTCAGCAACAACATTGATCACAGATCCTGAGATGATTCACCCAGAATGATTAGAAGGTGGTGTGATGTCTGCTCATTATGCACAATTAAGACTGATGTCAATGAATGACGTCTCCAAAACTGCATTTTTATTTATTTATTATTATTATAATTTTTTTTTTACCATTCAAGGTTCTTTATTGTCATTTGCATTGCATGTGGTACATGTGGTGGAGCGAAATTGTGTACAGTGGTCCCTCATTTATCATGGGGGTTACGTTCCATACATCCCTGCAATAGGTGAAAATCGGCTTGCAATGTTTTTTAACAATATTCGAAATTACAAAGTCCATGCTCAATAAGCAACCAGTTTGACACGACTGTCAACAAGGAAGAGGGTCGGCAATGGAGGAGGGGGCGTGACAAAGAGACCATCTTAGCACCAACATAACTGGTTTGTTCCACTTTGGAGTAAACTGTTGGGGGAAGAATCAGTTTTGTGTTGTGTGTTTCCTTGACTGATGAAGCCTTCCGGATTGAAGGCGAAACGTTTCAGCACAAAAAAATAGAAACTCCAGATGACCTGACTGAAAAATGTTGGAATATTCTAAACGCTTTAAACGCTCTAAAAGAGCACAGCGAAAGAGAGCAGACAAACTGATGCTATGGTTACTGAGCCCAGGATACAGAGCTCAATACTCTGGTTGGTCGCCTTCCATCAATCAGCCAATCGTGTGTCGTGTACAATCTCACGTTGGAAACCCGCCAAACAGTGAGTCCGCGAAAGTCGAACCATGAAGTACCGAGGGACTACTGTACTCAAGGTCCCAGTTACACCCCCAAAAATAGCAATAATATAAAGTATAAAAAAGAAACAGTAAACAAGGAATCAAGGTATATGATAAACAATAATAATATAATATGATACTGTGTATTAAACAGCAGCCTGAACATGAGTCTGTTGTGATCAGATAGAAAGATATTTTATTGATCCCGAAGCAAACTATGTGGCTGTCTGTAGCTTCCATTCATACAAACAATAAGATAACAACCCACCAGTTAAAAAAAAAAAAAAAACGGAGTATTAAAAATATATAAATAAATAAAACAACACTAAAAGTGGAGGTCAAGCAACAACTATGTTAGGGGACATGACCAGCTAGCTTCTCTAGTTCTTGCCAGGAGTGGCCGAATTATACAGCCTAATGGCACAAGGGACAAACAAGTTATTTAGTCTCTCAGTAGAGCACCTCAACAAATGGAGTCTGGTGCTCACTGAACTTTGCTGATGAGAGAAGACCGAGTTCAAGAGATGGCCCTGAAATCCAGCACTACCTCCTTGGTTTTAGTGGCATTCAGCAAAAGCTTATTCTGTTGGGACTACCCAACAAAGTCCTTCACCAGACCCCTGTATTCCCCCTCCTCACCCTCCCTAACACATACCACAATTGCAGATGGGTATGAATATAACAGCTTAAAGGCAAGAAATCATCAGAATTCAAAGATACATAGAATGGATATATAGGTGGACATTCTGCTTCACGTTTGTCCTTCAAACTGATACATTATCACTCGCCAACCATGTCCTTGTTTATATATGTCTGTACTGTTGTCAGAATATTTTATGAACCAGTGGATGAATTCCAATAAAACCCACACATGCACAGCGAGAACATGCAAGCTCCACCCAGAGACGCCCTCGGACCAGAATTTGAACCAAGGACCTGCATGCTGAGAGGCAGCAGCTCTACCAGTTGTGCCACCTTGCTGCCCCATGTTTATGTATTGCGTCCTTCTTATCCTCAGTTTCTGTTTTCTATAGGGTTTGTGTTTTCCTAGTGTATACCTCCATCTAGTGTTGTGTGTCTGTTCCCGCACTCCCTGGTTTCCTGGTTTGTCATGTTCCCTGATGTGTTTCAGCTGTGTGTCCTAACAGGTGTTTTGTCTCATTAGTCACTGTATATAAGTCTGTGTCTCTATGTTAGTCCTTTGTCCTGGCATTGAATACTGTCCACTGGTGATGTCCCAGCTGCTGCTTGTGATTCCATGTAAGTTTTGCTGCACCATCAGTCTTTTTGAATTCTTGATAATAAATACCCTATTTTATAATCTC